ATATTAGGTATGCTAATATCTGTGCACTGGAGGATTGTGGGAGGAACATCCAGCCCCTGATGGGGGTCCTGTGGGGCACCCCAAAACACTGAGTAGCTCTTTTGGCCTCTTTCGGGACTGGGGCTGTGCAGCCCTGTTCTGATCAGGAGGTGCAGCTGGGGGGATCACCATGCCTTTGGGGGACAGGGCACAGAAAGGGGCAGGAGCTTCAGGGGCTATTCCAACTCATACCTGACAGGGAAGATACCATGATCATCAAAGTGGTTTTCTCAGGGTGACGCTCATCTATTGCACTTTGGATGTGCTGCCCCATGTGATTTCCCCAAATGTGGGAAAATCAGCTGCCTAAGTGGGTGACTGTGTTTGTGGTTTCCCCTGGTCTTTCTAGAATCACTCTTTCCCCTTTGGTCAGGGGCTATTCCAACTCATACCTGACAGGGAAGATACCATGATCATCAAAGTGGTTTTCTCAGGGTGACGCTCATCTATTGCACTTTGGATGTGCTGCCCCATGTGATTTCCCCAAATGTGGGAAAATCAGCTGCCTAAGTGGGTGACTGTGTTTGTGGTTTCCCCTGGTCTTTCTAGAATCACTCTTTCCCCTTTGGTCCTTGGCTGTTTTCACTGCCTGCTGCCATAGGCCTGTTGGCCTTGCTGGTTTTCCAGGTGGGCTCCTGGAAGCAGATCCTGGAAAGCCAGCAGTGCAGAATGGTGAGGTCCAAATAGCAAGCAGTCTCTGGTACCAGTTCAGAGGCCTCCCAGCATGGCAGTGGGAGGCTTCTGGGTGATGGTGGTTGAACCCTTTTTTCCTGTATTTGCTCCATAAGACACACATACTTTCTCCCCCACTATTTGGGGGGGGGAGTGCATCTTATGGAGTGAAAAATACGGTAGTTTTGTGCAGATGAAGAAACACCCACATGTGCAAATTCATAGATGACCACTTGAAGAACCACAGTTATATGTAACATAGTCTTCGGCAAGTGTCCCATTCAGTTATGATAGCTTGATCTAAGTTGAAAGGAGTTGTTGAAAATTTCAGTTAAAGCAACAGTCGGAGATCTTTGCCATTGCTGCAGCTTCCTCAAGTGCAGCCCCGCAGACAGCATTTCAAAAATCATATCTCAGTTTGATTAACCAAGATACAAACAAGTCTTCTATCTGTCACTTCTCTCCCTTCTTACAGTTGCACTTCAGCTAAACCTCGTAGTGAAGTTTCCAGTCAGCCATGTTTGTCCAGACTAGAAAACTGGTCAGCAGATTCAGAACAAGATGGACTCAAGTAAAAGTGTAAAGATGCTTTAAAATCTTGGGTTCTTTTGAACTTGGAAATCAATTCCATCAGAATAGGAAACTATTTATAGGGGCTTTCTGCCTCACCATATGATCAAAGTGAGAAGGGGGATTCACAAGGATGGGACACAAAAGCAGAGTATTTGTACATATTGCAGCTTATTAGTGCTTGAACTCTGAAGCTACTCTCAGGTTGGTGAATGAGTGTATATCAGGTTTTTTTAGTTAACAGTGAATATTATAGAGATAATGTGATATATCTTTTTAAACCTATTACAAAACAGTTTTTGGCTTCCCTCAGGTGTGTTAATGTGTTTGTATTACATGCTAATGCATGCTTCTCTAAAGTTAACTACATTTGGAAAACATATGAAATAGTTAAATACTTTAGTTTAACCAATTGGCTGGACCATGTTTGAACAACACCTGGTATCAAAGCAGAACTGAGGTTTTGCTCTCCACCAGAAGTGCTTTGCTTGAGGCTGTTCCTGTAATTTTGACAAAAATATTTATTTTTAAGGCCATTTGCTGTGCGCTAAGTTTTTATAGCTAGTGCCAGATTGTATAACTGTGGAGGAAAAATACTTTACGGTAAAAGTACATTTTTGACAGCTGGCTAATACAAGTGATAGTAATGAATTGTAACTCTGGATTCCCTGTTGCTTATTCTCTGTTTAGAAATGAGGTGCTAGCTTTTTATTTTAATTGTTTAATCTTTTTTACTATATTTTAATTGTTGTAAGCCGCCCAGAGACCTTTGGGTAGTGTGGGTGGCACATACGTTAAATAAATAAATTAATAAATAAATAAATTTTAAAATGGAAATTGTCAAAGGTTTTAAAGGAAAAGGTTGCATCAGGTGGTATATAAACAACATAAGCTGTGTGATTGCTGAGCTCCAATGTGATCTGTCTCTCTAGCATCCTATTTTGTAGCTGCCCAGAGTGGTCGACCAGACCAATCTCTCTAGCATCCTATTTTGTAGCCGCCCAGAGTGGTCGACCAAACCAGATGGGCGGGATACAAATCAAATAAATAAATAAATAAATTTTCTAACCGTGGTAGATTATATTTGCAAATCAGATTGAGTAATACACTGCTTCCATATTGTCTTGTGAGTTTATCAGCTGCAAGTCTCATGCCAGATATTCTGGGGTGTCTCTGAAAGCTGTCTCTCTGTGCTTCTTGGATACAAAATTTATCACACTCATGTGTCTGGCAGAACTGCTGCAGTAGCTCTTCTCTAGGTGTTGACAAGCCCTCTCTGTTAATAGAGATTGTAGTTAACTTTGGCCCTGAGAAGGGCTCTTCTGTTATTGATGGCTGCTTGTGGGCGGCCAATCGTCCGGCAGTGCTTCCAGAATGGATAGATCAGCTGAGAGGGTTCTGTTGTTGCCCAGGGGATGCCCAAATGTATTCACATTTTCTGGGGCAGCTCCTTCCATGTCTGATGTCTTTGGCAGTGGTAGACGGCCGCTACTTAATGAGCTCGTTTTTTAATTAATTAAAAAAAAAAGTTGTGTATAACCCAAAACAGAAAAAGGAGCAATCTGTCACTGCTGATAACATTATTCCCACTGGACAGGCAAGAGCTCGGCAAGGGAATACTGACCATTATATTTGCCTTCATGGTGTTCATAAAGCTGGTGGGGGGGGGGAAGCCTGTATTCTGCAAGCAGATGTCTATTCATAGAACAGAAATTTTCCTCCACTCCCCTGCACACTTCCTTCCTCAGATCTGTTCCTCATGCAGAGAGTTCTCCTTCTCTATCGGAGCAAATTTGCTCTATATACAAGGGGTACTTTTGGGAACATTATCATTTCTGCTGGTGGAAAGATACCCCCTCATCTTGGGTTTTAATTATTTCCACACATTTTCCATGGAAACAGTTTCTGAAGGCAAAGACATGGCTACGAACTAAATTGTACTTGGTGGTCTGAAGCTAATGAAAGTGAACCCTTGATGACAAGCTAAAGTATGTGTTTCTGTAGCAGAGTTTTTCTTTATTTTGAACTTATTGCAAGAAAGTTCTTGTAGGAACTGTGGGATGATTAATCTTGGTTTTAATTTAGCTTCTTAAATGACAGAAATACCCTTACAGCAACATCCCAAAGGATTATGTGGCAAGAATGTAGTTTACAATTTACAGAATTAAATAGAAAGTTAAATTGCTGTCTAAATGAAATTATTTTCGGGTGGTATATACTGCAGACAACACCTGCACCTCACTGTCTGTTTATGTGCGTTGTCCTCTGATTCAGATGCAACTGGGAAATATAGTTTCTGTTGTATGAATTGAGTGTGTTTGGAAAGATATGAGAAACAGTAAGCTGTTGTTCTGTTATCACTGCAAATATTGACCAGACAGGTTGAGTGGATACAAGAGCATGTACTTGAACTATGGATTCCTCAAATAAACTAAACAGAGGAAATAGCCATTAGACAACTATCAAGGGTGGGGACAGCATGAACCTTCCCAGGTTCTGTGGGAAAGACAGCAAGAACAGTGTAAGTCATTGGTTCTCAAACTTGATGTTCTTGGATTACAACCTCCACAAGCTCTAACCAGCATGTCCAATGGTTAGGGCTTCTGGAACTTGTAGTCCAAGAACATGTGGGGCCCTGAGCTTGAGAACCACATTAATCTCGGCAGTAATTTTATTGCCTGTGGGATTTCAGTGAGGTGCACTTAAACTGGTATGTGCCTGGTATGAGGAAATAATCTTTCTGATTTTTCTTTTACTAAAATCTCCCCCTTTTCTTCTAAAGCTGATCCTCCATTATCATGTTCTTTACACAAAATGCAATTTTTCCCAAAAACATGTATCTTAGAATTTCTTAAGTATTTTGTAACATAATTCTTTGGGTTTCAATTTCAACATATCATTTATTTTCATAACTTCCCTGTATTGTAGGTGTAACAATGAAAGCCTGCACAGGCTGCCACAGCAATGGCTGTACAATGTACTGGAAGAAATTAAAACTAGAGATCCTTCATCTAAACTGTGCGCTACTAGACGCAGTGCTGGGATTCCATTCTATATGCAGGTATCTACCATAGATGTGTGTCTGATCTATATATGGTTGTGTCTTGGTAGACTCTTCCATGAGAAACTCAGGGTATATTTGCTGATTAAATATATAGAAATACATAACTGTTTTTTTATTTATTTCCCAGTCTACACACCTATTTGCTTTAGTTGTGCTTATTTTCATTCTGATGTAAGCAGAAGAACTAATTCTATATGCATTAACAGATATGCGATTAAATAGTTGTATAATAATTCCATTACGTATATTTTAAAAATGCATACATTAAACAGAATGTGGATTGTAGCACATTTTTGAGAGTCGGATCATTCCAGTGGGACCTGCGCCTCTTTAGAAGGGCACGCAAAGTTCATGAGGGATAGCAAGGCATGAGCTTCTACTAGCAGAACTGTTGTTTTATTAGACAATGACAGATCTGTATGTTCAAAAAAAAAGATAATGTTTGGATCTATATAAAGAGGGAGGAAAGGAAGAGCAGCTTCCATTGTGTAAGTGGCCATTGCTCGCTTGACATTGGATGGAATCCGTAATTGGCACTGATGGAGGTAATAGCATTACCATGTCTTTTGTTACAGACATGCTGTGTAGAGGGTATTGCAAAGACAAAAAAAAAACACCCAAAGGTAGAAAAAGTTCAGTCTCTTAAAATATAATGTATTGCTCTTCGACTGAAGTGCCTTGATTCTCTAAAAAATTAAGCTGTAGTCTGATCAGACACCCTGCCATCACTGCTTGATGTAAAAAGGACAAAACAGTTTCATGATTAGCTTGTAGCAAAATTAGAATGAGTTGCATTTTGAGATATGCTTATGTTTAGAAAGTGTTCATCTGTAGTTGCCTGGAAACTTCAGTTCAATAGTAGGCTGGAGAGTTCTTTTAAAAAAATGAATAATAATAATGAGCTATAGAGACTAGAGTGGGCAGTACTTGGATATATTTGGAACTGGACTTGAAGATCTGAAATGGAATTCTGTTTGTAAAAAATAAATACCCCAACAAGATGTATGTGTGAATTTATAAACAGTTGAAACCTTGTCCACCTCTCCCGCCTCCCTTGCATAGTAAAAACTGAGCTAAGAGTGCTTAGTAAAAGGAATCAAATATTTATTGGCTGCCTACAATTGCATAATAAAAAATTAGGAATATAATATATATTATTATAAGAAGACTAATAGCATGAAGACAAGTGACAGCCTTTTCCATTGAAGCTCAGGTATCTTGGAAACTGAAAGACTGGAAAGGATATGGAATTAGTCATACTTTACTGCTTAAAACTGTTAAAATCTGAATGCTAAGAAATACATTGAAATTTGCATAGGGAAATTTTAGAACAATTATGTGACTTTTACTAATATTCTTCTAAGTGACACAGCATCTGAGTATTGCTTGGCATAGTTGACAACAAGTAATGCAATTGTATATTTAATATAAACACTTCATGACAACAGAAATGAAGAGACTCAACAGACTTAACAGGCTATTTCTTGAAACCTTACAGTCGGAGGCATTGTAAATGCCTTCAGCTGATATTATTTTTACGGGTTGAAGTCAGTTCTTAGTCCCAGCCAAAGTAGAACCATTGAATTAATGGGCATTGTGAAGCCAGCACTTAGGCAAGTCCCATTGATTTAGTGGGTCCAGTCTAGCTAGAACTAAGAACTGGTTATTGCAATACATGATCAAGGAAGAATTTTTTATATATATGGTAAATTTTGCTGAAATGCTTGCCTGTAATATGAACTTCCCTGGTGTTCCAAATCTCTTAATTAAAAGGGTTTTCAAAGGAGAAGGAAAGATCAAGAGATTTAGGAGGCAAAGCACAGTCCTTCCAATACAAAACAACCCATTCCTGCAGGAGACTGTTTTGATGCATAAAATACAAAAATAGCTCACTTTTTTCAGCCCATTTCGTTACGACACATTTTTTCTAATGGGCGAGTTTCAACTTTGTGTTGAAATTGGTACATTTTGTATTTTGCCAATGCTCTCCACTCCAGCCCTTTGGTTGGTTATCTCCATATAAATTCATCCCCTCAACGCATAACAATCCTGGATTTTGATGTAAGTGTTAAAAGGCTATCTTCTGCTTTACAGGTCTGTGGGTTAAGTTTGATGCTTTTCATGCTCCACTTTAATTGAAGTATCCTGGAGGTTATCGTCTTTAAAAGTAATTTTCCTAAACTTCATGTACATATGTGAAACCTCAAGAAATTAGAGATTACTGTAACTCTGTTCAAAGCTGTTTCCAAAACAATTAATGAGTAATTCTTATGCAGCTTCTTTTCTTTCTTTCTTTTAAATCTAGGCTTTGCTGGCATCAGAACCAAAGAAGGGGAAAACAGGCCTACTAAAAATTACAATGAAAGAGTTGATAGATTTAGCGGCACCTTCAAATGTTCCATCAAGCACAATCCCTCAGGTAAACTGTATTTTAATTCAAAACAAAAAGTCTGTAAAAACACATCCCTTTTGTGCATATGACATATTATTCTAGAAGAGTAGTGCAGTTTAGGTTAACACCAGTGGCTCCCCTGTAAAACTTAGCATATACCAGACCAGAGTTGTTATGGCACTAAGTAATGCTTAATGAAACTGTGGAATTCATTACTACAGGGCATTATAGTTAATGCTTCTGTTGTGGATACTTTTCAGTGGATGCTTCTAGTGAAACCTACCAAATGAAAGACTTGTGCTGAGATATTGTATTACCTGAATTGTTAGATCCTGTCCTAGGGAAAAAATAAGAAGGGTTGGCTATGTCCAGTATTTTAACCCTTTCACACTGGCCACCTTCAAAGGATCAGATGCTTCATTGTATGGTCACTTATTTGAGCCTATATACAGTAGTGCCTCGCTTAACGAGCGCACTGTTTAACGACGAATCCGCATAGCGACACGTTTGTTTGCGATCGCATTGTGATGTTTTAGGTAGCAAAACATCGCATTGCGATGATCGGTAAAATGGCCGCCGGGGGCAGAAAATGGCCGCCCTACCCTTGCTTACCGAGGCGGCGAAAATGGCGGCCGGATGGGGAATCTTCACTTACCGGTGAGTTTCCCCCCCCATAGGAATGCATTAAATGGAGTTTAATGCGTTCCTATGGGGTTTTACGTTCCATATAGTGATGTTTCCGGATAGCGACATTAATCCTGGAACGGATTAACGTCGCTATGCAGGGCACCACTGTAGTACTTTTGACAATCTTTTATTGGGGCAGAGTAGAGATGGGGGTTATTTGTATTTGTATATGAATACGAATATCCCCCCACAGATGGAGATAACGAGGGCCCGGCCCCATGGGTCCGCCACTGATGCAAGCTTGATTGAGTCTTCCTATTGCTCTGTTGTCCGCAATGGATTAGCCAGTCCTGGCAGAAGGCGGGGTGACCAGCCCCTGCCAGGTTGCAGAGTGGCTAATCTATTGTGGACAACAGAGCGATAGGAAGGCTGCATCGAGCTCGCATCAGTGGCGGAATTGTGAGTGGACAGGGGCTGCACCCCCGTTATCTCCACCTGTGGGGGGGATATTCATATTCGTATACGAATACCCCCATCTCTAGTGCAGAGCAGTGCAAACGTTAGAGCAGCTTCAGAGATATAGCCTGTAAATCTTAGTCACAATAATTATTATTTATAAAATGCTATGTAGCTATGATGAAAATTGCATTGTTTTGGGGTGCAGCAGTACAAGTATTTCTAATTATCATAAGCCAGCATTGATTACTTCTGAACTACAGTCTCTGGTTTTGATCCTCCCATGTTTAAAAGCGATGGATTGGCCTGGTATGTTTCAAAATACACTGTTTCTTCAGGGATAGTTTGATAACGAAATTTTATTAAAACGAACAGACACATTTAGGTTATCTTCTTTGCACGGATTAATTCCAGGGTTGCCCATGTCAATTTGTAATGCAATACAGGTTTTATGAATATATGGGCCAGGGCTTGCTGTATTTTTCATAGTTTTAGTAATGAGTTAAAAGCACATAATTTTGAGATTCTTACCAAGACGTAAGTTGCTTATATTGACTTTTCCCATTCAGGTCCATGCTTTAAATATCTTGAGAGCTTTATTCAAGGATACTCGCTTAGGAGAAAATATCATTCCTTATGTAGCAGATGGAGTGCGTGTGGCAATATTAGGTTTTACGTCTTCTGTCTGGGCAGTAAGTTGATCCTTTACTTTTAATATATTAAGTTGGAAGGCTACATGTTAATGATAGTAGCCAGGGCATTGATTATGTTTCTCAATAACAATATAATGTCTGATTAAATTTTTATGGTTTTTTAAAATGGAGTTGGATGGAATGTATGTTGAGAAGACAGCATGCTGGCATGGGGGAAAGTGCTATAAAATAGCTTAGAGAACTGCTGGAATTTGGCTCTTGATAGTCTCTTGCACCAACGAAACTTTTATTTAGTTTTATTTGACTTTTATTTGCTTTCCAACAATGAAAGCTGAACATTTATCTGACCTTGCAGAGCAACACAGCTGCATTTTCTTTCTGGCGTGCAAAGCACTTTCGGATTGATTGATTTTTTAAAAGTGACTAGGTTTTAATATTAAATATCTCTTTAATATTTTCACAGGGATATCTGGGCCATTACAGATAATAATTAAGTCTAATCTGTATCACTCTGCTAAGTCTAAGGCAATTTACCTTTATGTGCAGGTCATATGTATTGACCAGAATCCTGTGATTCACATATGCCAGTTTAATTCAAACGGTAACCACAGTGGTAAATTGCCACTAGTTAAAAAGTTGGTGCTTGTATTTCTCATCACATATCAACTCACACAACTGGTGCACAATAAGAAATACAAACCTCATATTTCTTAATGAACAGTAATTTGCCACAGTGATTTGCACAGTTTGACTTGCGCTGGAATGCATTCTGTATTTCAGTAGGATTCTGGCCATTGGTTTTTTATTTTAAGTCTTAGTAATAGGCATCTCAAGTGGTGCTGGAATTTTAAAGTATATTTGACTATCTTAAGTGTGAAATGTGATGTTAGATAAAAGAAGGCAGCATAACGTATTAAAAGCCAACATTTTCAAATCCAGGAAATAAAGTAATTGAATAATTAGTTGATTGCCAGCCTAAATATTAGTATATTGTAAAATTGTTCTATGTGGAAGATCATGACGATAGTTGTTCTGAAAATTGGTTCAGTTTCCAGAGGTTGAATGTAAATATGGTGAATTTGTGCTTTGATTCCTAAAATTTATGTTCTCAGTGAATTGCCATTTGGACTAGTCACATTTTATTTTCTAATAAGCACATTGACCAAATCCTATTTCAGGAGGACAACAACCTACTAGACTGGAAAATTCAAGGGGGGTGTGCATTATGTAGCTGTAGGAAGCCACTATGAGTTGTACCATCTGCCTTCTTTAGCCATAGCTAAGCAACAGGATTTCGGCCAGTTTTTGGATAATGAGACTTGCTTCTTAGTCAAGTGGTTTTCAACCATTCATATATTCTGCCCTACCAAACATCTTTATCAATGTGGGTCCCACCAAAAGGCCACTTTTAAAAAAGGACACTTATGGGTTTATAGGCATTCTGCTACTGTACCATTATAATTTTTTTTTATCATTCACACTAAGTTTTAAGTATGCAAGCATTGCATCAGTATTATTGATAGTAAACATGAAGAAACAAAAATGATCTTTTTATTAGCAGATGGAAATTACAGTAATACTAGGTGATAAATTTTGTTTGTATAGTATCTATAGAACATAAATAGCTTGTCATATCAACAAGACGACATAGGAAGTGAAGGACAGGGAATTATGAGTATTGTTATAAAAGTATTGTGTCCTGTCTACGTAGTTTCTCCATACCACTAGCACCACACATACCATGGATGGAGAACCATTAGAGATCAACGTGAATGACCTTCAATATGTCTTCTTTTCTCCAAAGGTTAAGATCTGTTAGCCAGGCATATGATGGATTTTGTTGCCTATTTTTATTTATTAAAACGGTGTTCTTTGATCACAGTCCGTTTCCTGTATGAATGGGACAAACGAGTGGTTCCTTATTCAAGAGTAAAACAAAAAATAAAGAAGACAAAAATGTTGTAGCATCGTAAGGACTAACTGATATATTTAATGTGAACTTTTGTGAGCAAGTCTACTTCCTCAAACATAAGAGTGGGCTGAGGAAGAGGAATTGTTCATGAAAGATCACATTAAAATATAGTGGTTAGTCTTCAAGGTGTCGCAGTGTTTTTATTTTTCATTTTTTATTTTTCTCTTTTTGGCTTGATATGCTAGCATAGATGAACATGGCTATCTCTTCTAAACTACAAGAATTCAAGAGGGAAGATGCTTGAAGGCACACAAAATTTCTTTTCCTACATCAAATTTACATGTGACCTTTTAGAAATAGTTCAGAGAAATCAGATTTCTCCAGGTATAAAACAAAATGCTTTTTATGCATGTAACAACATTATCACATTGTCTGCTGAGCCAATATTTTAGAAGAAATGTCGTACACAAAAGGTAAATGTACCAGAAAAACTAAAATACTTTTAAACACTAATCTTTCTTTTGGTTTATATATTAGGTGAGAAATTCTTCTACTCTTCTCTTTAGTGCCCTCATTACAAGAATATTTGGAGTGAAGAGAGGAAAGGATGAGAACTCGAAAAAGAATAGGTATGTTAATTTTGGTGCTAAGATGTAGGCATACACAATGTTGTTGTTTGTTGTTTAGTCGTTAAGTCGTGTCTGACTCTTCATGACCTCATGAACCAGAGCATGCCAGGCCCTCCTGTGTTCCACTGACTCCCAGAGTTGGGTCAAATTCATGTTGGTAGCTTCAGTGACAAATGTACATACACAATGTACCATGAACAAGAATTATCTTTTAAAAATTGCTTACTTTTAAAGGCCTTGTGACAAATATCATGTCACCAAAGTGTTGCTGGAGTTCTTTCAGATCGGATGCTAAGAATTAAGTTCTGGTGTTTTGTTTTGTTTTTTTAACAACTGTAAACAGCAAGTGTTAACTTTAGTTTAAAATTCATCTCTAGGCCAGCTTTTTTGATGACTCCAAAGATTTCTTGAGAAATTTTGAGACTGAAGTGTTTTGAGACAGGTTTCTGTGTGTTGCCATTCCTGATGTGTCAGATTTATGTCCATTAATTTGCTTAGAGATTGTCCTATTTCTCCTATGTATAGTGCAGAAGGGCATCGTTACTAAAAGACTGCATTGGGAAAGGAAGAAGTAAACACACCCCAATGTTTTATGTGACGTTGTTGGGGCTTTTAATTGTGTCATCAGAGTAGATATGGGGACTGAGCTGGCATGTAATTTGTAGCAGTATGGGGTGTACCTGATGCTGTGACAGTATAGGGATTGTTCTGGGTATAGGGCCTATTTTTGTATCAAGTGTTGCTTAGTCTGTTGTGTGTCAACAACTACTTGAAATTGGGGTGTTCTCTATAAACAAGTTCAGGCCTGCCACCAAGAGCTTGAGAGAGTGACATGTTCTTGTGAAGAATGGGTTGAAGATTGCTTATGATGCACATGAGAGGTCTCGATTGTGGGCTGAAAATGACAACTAGTGGCATTTGGTCATTGGACTGTGAGTCTCTAAGGAAGAGACTCATTGATTTCCTTTTGTGTTTGGAGATCAGTGAGTCTCACCGCAAGGTAAGCATGGATTGGAGCCCTGGTCAAATGTTAACCTTTTTACATGACATAAAGGATACATGGAAGTGCCAAGCAGAGCAGTGAGCTTTGCAGTGTATGTTCCTTTCTTGGGTGGTTTTCACTATGCCTTAATTTTAGCAGCATCAGCATCCCATCTTAATCTAGTAGCTCCCTTGTGTATAGTATGGGCTGTACATGATGCTGTGACAGTATAGGGATTGTTCTGTTCTTCTGATGGAATCAAAACGCATTTGGGCATACCTGAAAATTACTGCGTTTATGATGTATTGTCTAAATCATGCAGAAGAACAAGGTTGCTGTGGTTGCTGATGGTATTGTTTGGGCCCAGAGTCCTAACACTGGCTGACAGATGGTTCTTTTGGCATGGAGAACAGGTCTCTGTGTACTGTCATCTAGTTGTGGAAGAACATCAATAGAATCTGAGCTTTATATATGGTTGAACATAATGGGCAAGTGTTACTCATAGGAATAAGTGATGACAAAAAGATTGTTACATCTTATCTTACGCTATGTTTAATAACATTTGCCGGAAATTTATATTAAGATGCTGCCATGCATCTGTCAGCGTCCTTGTTCAAGTTTATTAAATGTAATTAGCTAATGGAAGAATTAACGTAAAATAGGAAGTGAGTTAAATACTTTCATTCTCTTGTGGCACTTCTAAACGTCTTCATTCTTTAAAAAACATACATGGCACATGCAGTGATGTATTCATTCCCCATTGTGTTGGCCTTTATTGTATCAAGGATAGGATGGGGGGGGGCTTGATGGTTGCTACCAACCTGTGAAACTCTTGACAAAGAAAACCAGGAGCCCTCCCCACTCCCCTCTGGTCCTGTGGCTCTTCTGCTGTCAGGCTGAGACCTTTTTTATTTAGCCTGGCAGGCTTTGTGCCATTGGCTCACTGCTGAAGGGACTTTTCACTTGTGAATTACTCATTTTTTTAATTCATGTGTTTTAAAATTTCAATTGTGTTACTGGTAGTATATTCTTTAATCTTTTAAACACTGTATTTCTTTTTAAGTGTTTTGAGTCACTTTGTACCTCCTTTTTAAAAAAGAGGAAGGATATAAACTGAGGGGGCTACAGAAGTCTGGAGACACCACCACCCCATTCCAGCGGCCCCAGCCTTTTTTGGTTTTTCAAAGAAATGGGATTTTTGACTAAAAATACCTTATTGTACTTTCTAGTAGAGAGGGTTTTTAAAAACTGAAAATAATTTGGGGTAGGGGCCGAAACAGGTGGGATGTTGAGGCGCCCTCAAAAGATGGCAGAATTGCTCCTTCCCTCCAGCTCCTGGAGAGCACAAGAGAACTTCACGGTTTAGCAAAGCCAAAGATCACAGCAAGAGTAATAAGGGTTTGCAATCCAGTTTGCAAATTAAGCTCATTTAATTAACTTGGTAGCTTGATTCCTGTAGACTTCAGCCAATACATTGTATTTGATTGTGGGTCAATATTGTGAGCAAGAGGAAATTATATAGGAACATGGAAGGAGGCGTCAAGTTACAGAATGGAACAATGAGGTGGAGCCGCTTAACCAAGAGTCCCAAAATGTTCTGTGGGAGAATATGGCTTAAGGAGAGCTGTGGTCCAATTCTTAGAAAGACCCTGGCTTGCGACCTCTGTGGCTGGTGGTCTTGGTACCCGGATTTCAGTTCACCAGGTTTCTAGAGCACTGGTTCTTAACCTTGGGTTACTCAGGAGTTTTGGACTGCAACTCCCAGAAGCCTTCACCACCAACTGTGCTGGCTGGGGTTTCTGGGAGTTGCAATTCAAAAGCATCCGAGTAACAAAGGTTAAGAACCACTGTTCTAGAGGAACAAATAACATTTATGATCCCAGCACTTCTTGTACTGCAATTTTAAAGATGAATTTTGTTTTACAGTTTCGACCCCTTTCTTTCTTTTTTTGCAATGTAACCCTGTGATTAAATCACTTTTGCAATAATTAAAAAAATCCACTAGATGTCTCTCTTGACACATGTTCTTTATTGCGAAATCATCCCAGTTGTACCTAAGAGCGACAAATGTAATATGCTTTCCTTCAGGCGACCTTTGTTTCCAATATGTACTTGTGTTTAGATTCCAGTCAAATGTATTTTATGTAACTGTTTGGGTCATTTTAATTGAGCCAGATTTTTAGAATTGGGAAGCCTGAAGGTAGGAACCTTTTCATAAAAGTGGGTCTTGTTTGCACAGCTGTTTGATGCACCTCCCATACCCTTAGACTTAATTAGCAGATGGCATTTCCATTAGGCTACATGGATAGATGGCCATAGAAATGAAAGGGAAGCCTGATCTCCTTGCTGTGTGAAATTTGAGGAAGCCTCTTGCAAGCAGATGTTGCTATAAGAATTATTATTTCTTTCTTTTGATTTTTATTTTAATTAAACCCTTCTTTAGAGGGACCCAAAACTGCTTGCAAAATGGTTAAGAAACAGATTCAGCGAAGAAGTTATAACATGAAAAAAATAAAAATAAAATGCATCACAAGAAAATAGAATATGACGTTCCTCTTTGAAAATCTCTGTCTTAGGAGCCTGTTCAATAGAACTGCAGGGTCACTCAGTTTAGGCATCTGGCCGTGGAGTCAGAAGATTGGTAGTTCGATTCCCCACTCTGCCTTCCTTGACAGGAGCTGGACCCGATGATCCATAGAGTCCCTTCCAGCTCTGTAATTCCAAGATTATTGTTGTTGTTGTTAAAAAAACCCTACCAAAACAGAAGGGCTTTGCTTGCTGACAGAAGGAGAAGAAAGAGGGGACATACCTAGTTTTTCTTGGTATGGAGTTCCACATCCTGAGAACCACTTCCAGAAAGACCCTTTCTTATCTCATCCTTAGAACCTACCTGTGGGGATGGTGAGACTGAAGGAAGGGCCTCACCTGGAGATCTTGAAATCTGGAGAAACTCATATGAGGAGATTCAATACTTCGGATAGCGAGAACCCAAATTGTATAAATCATTCAAATAATTTTCCATATTGCAGGCTGAAAATTTAGTAGAGGAAGTTACAGATTTGAAAAGAAACAGCTGGACAGGCGATTTAAAACACTTCTGCCTTCTGATTGCTCTTCCAGGAATTTGTGGCAGGAGCACTACATTTCACATACTAATGAAGAGTACCTTCCCAGCTGATTTAAAACCACAGGTTTACATTTGAATCATGTATTTGTTATGCTGTGGTTCAGAGTAGCTTGTACCAATTATCGTTCCTTCCTCTGACAACTTTTTTGCACATAGTTTTAAAAGTGGTGGTAGAAACCCTATTCGCAGCCAAACAACTTCTGTTCTCTTCTCTTCTAGTTTAAAGAACAATCCCTTGATTCTACTTGAATTCTATCTCATGTTTCATTACCCCTGCACTCATTGTGAGCTTTTCATAGCTCCCAGTCTCTATGAGGTAGAAGTGTTTTAACTATTAGCTTAATGTATAATCCTTTTGCCACTATTTAGCAGCATATGCTGAAGAGGAGGTATATCAAGAGTAAAGAAGTCTATGGTGTAAATTGCAGTTCATGCCTTAATGCACATAACAAAATGTGACTATCAAACTAAACTTAATAGCTGTAACTCCCTTTTGCTTTCTGGTAACTATTTCCCATTTGCTTCAGTAAATCCCATGGCTTATGTTCATTTAGTTCAATAAATAAAAATGAATTCCTCATCTCTCAGATCCTTGCCAGTACTACATGAAGTGGTCTATCTACATAATCAGGGAACACGATGGACATGTTGCAGTTAAATCACAACATTTTCACTTCCTCAAACCTCTCTTTGAAACATATCTTTAAAAACTTTATGGCTGAAATCCTGTTAATTAACATGGTACGTCTCACTAGAGGAGGCCCACTGCATCAGTAGGAATCGGCTCCTTTGTAGGTTCCATTAATGCAGATGGGCCCATTCTACTTGTGACTTACTTTAATGAGGTAAGTTGCAACTGGAAAAGGACCATTTGAATCAATAGAACTTACA